ACAGAATCTGATGAACAAGGACTGATCCAGAGACGGAGAGGCATTGATTGGGCTGTGGGGCTTTGGAGGGAGGGTAGGGAAGGGTGGGGGTAAGGGGGAAAGATCAACCAAAGGACGTACATGCAGGCATATAGGCCTAACCAATGGACACAGACAGCGGGGGGAGGGCAAGAGCGGGGGGGCGTAGAGGGTAACGTGGGGACAAGGACATATATGTAATATCTTAATCAATAAAAAATATATTTAAAAAAAAGAAAGAAAGAATAATTCCAAAAATGAAGTCTAGGGAGAGCTATTAGAGAAAAGAGGGAAATATACAAAGGAGAATAAAAGGAAGGAATAAAATGTGCCATGAACTTACATTTGTGGAAAGGGTTTCCTTTGATTTTTTATCTTCCTTCCTTGTGTGTTTTTCTCTCTTTCCACCATCATATTTGGTTAACCTATTGTCCTTATTTTTTTCATTACTTTCAGTTACTTTGCTTAATTTTGTGACTTTACTCTGGTTCAGCAAAAATTCTGAATGATAGGGCCTGTAAATATAGAAATATTTGAACTACTACTAAAAATATTTAATACTCTCAAACTTATTATACAAATAAAGAGATACATAATAAATAAATAATCCTTATGGAGAGAGAGAGACAGAGAAAGGGAGAGAGAGAGAAACATTGATCAGCTGCCTCCTGCACAGCCCCTACTGGAGATCCAGCCAATAACCCAAGCATGTGGCCTGATGGGAAATTGAACCTATGACCTTTTGGTGTATGGGATGATGCTTAATCAACTGAGCCACACCAGCCAGGGCTGTTTTAAATCTTGAATTTTGCTAGGAAATTTTTAATCTCCTACTAAAATATAAATTATTTTTCTGTACTCAATAAATGTTTTGTTTTTCAAATTAGGTTACTTAGATGAGATTAGGATTATGCTGGAGATGGATATACAATACCTAGAATTTGGCGAACAAGAGATTTCAAAAGGTTAGTAGCAGAAGAAAGTGGCTGGATTCTGGGGATTTGTGAATTGTATGGATTTATGGGAGATCCTGCGTAACATAAGGTTATTTATTACTTGGTGGTACTGGTGAATTAACACCACCAATGCAGTCAGAGAAAGACTAGAGTAGTGCCTAATTTGAAATTTCACCACTTTATTTCATTATAGGTCTATAGTCATCATTTCTCTCTTTCTATATAAATTTCCCTATCTTTGTTATAGAACTAGGGAGTCAGAGACTTTTCAAACACCAGGAGTTTTCAGGGGTTTGGTTTCATACCCCTGAAACCAGCTCTGACTATTGAGCAAAAGGTTACTAGAGAGGAAGATTTCTCAGAAATAAAGTAGTATTTAATATTAAATGATCAAGGTAGCTTTGATGGGTAGAAGATAGGACAGCAAGGACATTGAACTGATATAATCTGAACTGTATACAGAAGCTGAACCAAAAAAATCAAAATTAGTCTTCTCTTTTTTGTTAAGATTCACAATCCTAGGAGTGAGCATTCGATTGTTAAACTTGGGTCAAGTGGGCTTTGAGAATAAGGATCTGATTCTCAGAGCTTCCAACGTGGAAAACCAGGTATGTGCATAAACTGTCACACTAAGACTGCACACAGTGGAGGAAAGGAATGTTTTCAAAAGGAATTCAGGGAGCTATTTAAATGTGGAAGTTTGAGGATTTACACAATGTAAACTCTGCTCAAGCACAGATGCAAATTCTCTCAATTAACTATGCTGATGAATCAATCAGTAGCTTGATAACCTGATATTTCATTTATATGTGATTCATTGTAGCAAACAAGGATTCATAGATTATGACTGCAATTGCATTTATTGGTAAAGGGGGCAACTAGTTTTAAGGTAGATAACACATATTTACATGTTATTTATAATCTGGTTATCATAGTATATGTTTATTTGCTTGTTTATTTTCTGGCTTCTCCATCAGGACATGAGCAAGAATAATTTTTGTCTTAATCTTAATGCCTAGAACCCTGCTTAGAACCAGATACAGAAGTTAATATATCTCCTTATATATGTAGAAATATAATAATAATTTCTCTGAATTTAGTTTTTTGAGTGCTTCTTTATTATACAAGAATATTTTACTATACTTAGCTTCTTTAACTTGAAACTTTAAGTGCCCTGGAGGCATGGTTGTTTTTCTGACTTTCTGGCTTTTAATCTCATAAGAAACATTGCTCATGAAGTGCTTTGATTTTAAAAAACTGTGGCTTCTCAACTCTATAAAAACAAATCACTAAAAGAGTGTTTATATACTGCCTTCACCAAGAAATGCATTCTTATTCTTATAATTATGGGAATAATAGTTTAAGATGAGGTTTTCTCCAAATTCCAAGAAGGTTGAATGAGATACTTACAAGGTTTGACATAAGAAGGGCCTTCTTTCTTGGCAGTCAGTGTTATTCCACTTTAAGAATTCTGCATAAAATAGATTAAAACTGTGTGACAATTGGTGGTTTTCCAAAAATCTTGAGGAAGTTATTTATATTTTTCTCTGTAATACTCAATTGATAAATCTGAATCTGTATTTTGCAAACCAAATACTACTTTGCAAAATGTTACCAAGTAAGTGTGAAAAAAAATCTATGGTTAAATACATTTGGTGTTTGAAGACCAAATACAGTTGGTGTTGTTCAAAGCTTTTTATTTTAATGCAATAGCTTTCAGAGCCTTTAATTCACTAATCTGTCTTATAAATTTCCAAGAGAAAGTTTATAGAATATAGTATTTCCAAAACACATTTGATAAAGAAACCTTTCTTTTTTGACTTATCAATTATATCTCCTCTGAAATTTTGAGAAAAACCTGTGCAAATAATTAAGAAGAATTTTTTTTTAAATTTCAGATTATCACATGCTCTCACCTTCTGTTGCTATAAGTTCTACACAAACATTTTGTTTTACAATGACTTCCTGGTCCTTCGGTGGGTTATGTTGTTCATTTCCAGGTTGGTGAATAATTTTCCAATGGCTATTCTGAAATAAAATGATGAATCCCCAGTAAAAAAATAAAAAAGTAAATAGAAAAGGTATTGTTAACAAGTTAAGAGTTACCAAAACATAGAGTATTCCTTGGCTATGTTATAATACAAATGTGGTATAGACCACAGAGCAAGAGCTTTTAGAATTTCTAAGTCATGATATGGAACTTTACCTTTAGGATATGGTGTGATGTATAGGTTATATTATCTCATAGTTGAGAGAAATTATAATTCTGCTAATAAAAAAATAGTAACTAGCTAATAGATATCAATTACTATGTGGATAGATTCAACTACTACATTATTTTTTAATGAATGAGCATATGACTAAAAAAAAGTTAAAACATTGAAATCACAGTCCCTGAGAAAAGAAGGTCAAAAATATATTTATAATAAAATTGACTGTTTATAAAGATTTAATGTCCCAGTACTCATATTTGGATCTCTTAAGTTGAGTATTCTGAAGAATATCCTGGCTATAATATTACAATAGCAACAATTTTATATTATATTATCATAGAAATAGTATTATACATTATATTCATATGCTATAGCAATAAATTATGTTGCATAAGCAAAAGAAATAGATTAGAGGTTATTAATATAGTTTATAGGATATTCTTTAACTTTTAAAACAAAGTAAGTTTTCTGGCAAATTTTATAGAGATGATGCTAATTCTCCTTACAGAAGTAGTATTCATAAACTCACACAATACAAAACATTGTACATTCATTGTACTTTTCTTAGAAAAAACTCAGGAACCTAACAGATGCACCTGGATTGCTAAGATGTCAAGTTTTACACGATTGGGGAATTCAGACTCTCCACAAATTGTGAGTTTGTTAATTCTTTTTTAATGTGGAAATTTAATATGGAAGTTAATAATTTTTTGAATTTCTTGAAATGGGGAAATGTTGTGAAAACCAAGAAACCAAGAGGATATGTGTCTATGTTGATTAGCAGGCCCTACTAAGTATATGTATAGTCCCTGTTTGAGAAAAATAATTTAGCAATACCTGACTTTGTTTTTCTAATTTAATCCAGATATTTTCCTTCTGTTGGTAGTTTTTTACCAAAGCAGCAATAGCAGAGGCCTCATTAAAGTTTTGGATGGTGGTAAGATGGAGCCCATGTTGTTGGCATATATCCTGGGAAAGGAAAGGAAAGAAAAGTAATCTTGATGTTTTGTATTGTGCACAATTCCACCTCCAAAATTTGGTGTTATAATGAAGTGGTCTGAAAGAACCAAAGCAATGAGGGGAAGGACTTAAAATTATAAGTGAAAACATGAATACATACCTGTGCTTGAGACCAGTTCAGTGTATGGTTAAAGTAGGTAAAGCAACTGGATAAGTTATATAATGAGTCAGTAGGGCAAACAGAACCATTCTGAGGAAAACTAGAAGCCCTGCTGAAAAGCAATAACAGAAGAACCAAAAACACTCTCATCTTTGCTGCCTTCCTACAAACCTGTGGGGGAGGGAAAAAAGCATGTGGTCAGAGATAACAAAAATAAGTAAGCATGTAAGCACGTTGGTTTAGATAAAGTTAAAGCATACTGTTGCATTCATTATACAATTTCCTATCCAAGGCAATTAATCAGGGCAGCTTGCAATCTTGGAGAGCAAACGACGGACCAAATCCTCCAATCTACTAGGGCTAAGATAGAACAGGTATTACTTCAAAGAGAGAATATTGCAATGGTGTCTAGACAATATACAGAATATTTAAAAGTTGGAACCGAGGGAACAGAATGAATGCACAGTTATATGGGATGTTGTGGATTAACAGATAATTGATCTAGATTGGTGATTTGGACACAATTGATGCAACTTCATTTTCTACATTGGGCACTGAAACTTTTACGTTTTGGTTCTTTTATCTTCCCAAGTTTCCACTTTGTTGGTACATGACACCTGGTTAATTGTGCCCAAACATCTTAGTATTAATTATTCACATAAGGAATAAGACCAAAATCATCGTTCCAATTAATTCTCACAATATTCTCCTTTACTTCATTCAACTCACCAATTGTTATTTCTCAGACCTACCTTAGTTTTCTCCCATCTCTGTCTTTGTGGTTCTCTTTCACAAACTATTGAATATGCTTACCTTTATGTGAGAGAAGTAACATTTTTAAAAAAGAGATCTGGAATAAAATAGACCTCAGTTTACATCATACTTCATATTTAGGCAAGATTGTAAAGTTGTTCTTAATATAAAATATATGAACATTTTTCCTTTCCTTCATCACTGCTAAAAATGTGTTCAGTTTTGCAAAATCTTAGCAAAATCTTGATTGGTAAAGTTCAGATTAAAGAAGTGTTGAACTGTGTTTCAAGATGATGTGAAAGAATATCTGTTAAAAGTGAGAAAAATACTAACTTGCTAGTTGATTTTTGGTTTCTATTAGGAACTTTGAGGTAAAGATGCTAAGACCTTACATCTACCTAGATACAGTGGGGTATGAGTAATCTGATTTCAAAAGAGGGCAACTACAGCACATGACAGAAAGTGGTGTCTTCTGACTGTTGGGTTTCAGCTAATAAATGTTAGGGACACTTAGAATCATTTGGTTTCAGTGCTTTTTATTTTTATTCAGTTCTCCCCTTCTGACATCATTAGTGGCGAGGAAATTTGGACAAATTCAGCAGGCTTGTGTAAATGATATCTTGGGGAGCAGAGAAAGCATGTGTTTGTACTTGGAATAAAATAGTACAGTAAAAAGAATTCAACATGAAGTTTTGATACAATCACCAAGATTGATGTGAAGGGGAGGGGGTAAAAAGGGGTTCATGGGGGGAGAGGGGAAGGGAACATATGTAACACTTTCAACGTTAAAAATTTAAAACCAGAACAAAATAAAAACAGTGCCTGTCTCATAGTATTTAGCCAATAAATAGATTTTCTATGAAGGTTATGCATTACACTGATATGCTATACTTTATGGGGCTATCTTATTTTAAGAAGTCTTTCTGACTTCTGCTACCTACATTGATTAAAATTAGTTTTTTGATGTGCACAATTCAGGGGTACATTAATTGCTTAATGATCTCTAAACGTGTTAAGTATATGGATAGTTCTTTATAAAATTATATGAGTTTTAAAAAAATATTGAAGCAAAGATAAATGATGATGAAGTGGTTTATGTTCTTGGCATAATTCATCATAATTTGAAATAATAAAAACAGTTTAAATGATGCATTGGGAAATTAAGATGTCACAGATAAAGTACATGGAAGAGGAAGACAATGAACTTCCTAGAAATATTCTGAACTCCCTGGCAATTATTTAAACGTAGACTTGGAACCAGGAAATTCTTTGATAGCCATATTTCAGGCACACAAGGTCTCCAGTATCAGTATCTTTCTTCAGCCAAAATTAAATGTTTACACGAAAAAGAACAAACTATTCTTTGGACCTAAAATATAAATTATCTATCTTTTCATCTAAATGAAAACTAAATACTTCACATGTGTTCTTTACATTTTGAATCTCAAAATATTGGAGAGAAAATAACTATAAATTATCTAATCAAATCACATATCCTAATAGAATTCAATTCTACTACTAA